ACTAGGAACAAGTGCATCGCTTCTAGTAACAAGTGCCTTACTAGTAGGAACAAGAAACTAGTAGAAACAATAAGCTACTAGGAACAGATTGCTCCAGAACTCGGCACGAGCGGCCACCATCGCCACCATCGCCGCCCGGAGGAGACGAAGAAGGCCACGGAGGAGAAGGCCCAAGCCACCGCGGCAGCCAAGGAGGTGTGGCTTCGCCGGAAACCGTTTCAATCCAATGGGCGGGCCAGAAGTTGTGCCTGAAACATGGGTTCAAGGCGGCCCAGGAGTTGTGCTAGAGTTGATTGTGTTAAAAACGACGTTTTAGGGGTGTGCTACTTTATGACCCCTCTCCCTCTCTCTATACTTATTCTATACATATATATTACATATATATACATGTATATATCATATGCAATATGCATATACTTGTTTGCGCGCTCTACAGGCTCTTCCGCTTCGTTGCGGAAGTTGGAAGTTCGGGCTGCCCAAATCTGTTGGGATGGATCCGTTCCGTTCCGATGAGACTGGGCAGGAAGTGACGAGTGCGGAGGCTTCCTTAAAAGCGGCCAAACAGGCACGTGTGGGCAGGTCAATGAGGATCAAGTCCCACTTCAATAGAGATTTGTTGATGAACATCATCGAGCTCCTCCCTCAAGTTGGGTGAGACGTGGTGCCCTTACCACTAGTCCAATTTGCTGAGCCTGCAAGAAAGCTTTAGACTCTACGTAGCCTTAGCTTTGAAGCGCTGAAGGCAGATGCTGCAAGTAGGGTGACTGGCTAAAATGGAGCTAAGTTGATTTGGTGCACAAGGTTTCTCAGAGCTGGCAGGCATTGAAGACAGCCGAGCAAGAGCAGAAGGCCAACAGCCATTGTCACAGAACAAGCTCAACAAAGATGCTTGTCCATTGTCGTTTTGCCCCAGCTACTGTATGACCGAGCCTACGTCACCTTGTTTAGATCGTGAAAGAGGCACATCATGATTTGGTGGATTGCTGGATGCTTTTGTGATCGCTGGGCCAGGCAGGAGATGCCAAGGTCACGGTGGACGAGGCGAAGAAGGGAAAGCTCATGTGGGGTGGCCCTGAATTGGCGCATTTGCGCGGGAGGGTGGTGTAGTGACAGGGTGGTGTGCTTTTGGAGATGCATTGTCTTTCACACCCAGTCGTGATGACCCTGCCACTTGGGTCTAACAGCGGCTTGAATGGCTTCCGAAGCTGTTCAGTTTGTGCCCTCATTGAGGAGCACGATGGAGTCGGTCTTCCTTCCCTGCAAGGAGGGAGCCCTTGCAGAGAGCGCCATCACCAAGGTGAGCAGCGGTCGAGGGGATGTTGAGAACCGTCTCTACTCGTTGCAGGGCGTCGACATGTCGACATGTGAATGGTGTTCTACAGGGGCCCATTCTTTCCTTCTTGAATTCAGAAGTAGGTTCAGCCTTCATCCATCAAATTGCCAGATTTGTCGCAAACTCTGCAAACCTCTGTCATAAAATGCCCTCTGCACCAACAAACATAGAAAGGACAAATGAGAAAGTTGTCCTTTCGTTCGCTGACCATTTGGGTGGGGACACTGGTCTTCCTAACTCTTGGAGGGTCAGAGCTTCACAACTCTCCGCCTCCGCAAAAACCTGTTTGAAGATGGGAGAGATTGCAGTTATCCGACTCGGTAAATTACATACTGACATGGAGGAGTGGATGGAAGTGCAAAATGACCCTTGAGAAGACTGTTTCCTCTACAAACAGGTGGACAAGTTTTGAGCTTGGGAGGTCAAATCATTTGGTAACAGTCACATCCGTAGCCTCCCAAAAAATGGGCACAGCCCCCGACAGAGCCTGCTTATTTGACTTATTTGACTTCCGTGATGTTCCGCTCGCGCAGGGCATCGCAGATCTGCAGAAGTTGGGGAAAGAGTACGGCTTCGATACAGCCCTGCTGACTTCTCTGCCCAGCGCCCTCTCGAAGGAGAACTCGAGAACGATGTGGTGTGATGATGCATATTGGTCTCGATTGGCAGCGGTCTAAGTTCGGTTGAACGAACAAGCTGCTTATGATCAATTTAATACGAACAACTACTCAAGCACTAGATCATTGCCATGCACACGATCTTTTGGATAGATGACATGTGGAGCACAACCAGAACCAGTCTGGTGTGTCTAGATCTCTTGATTTTGAACACTTTTATCTCCAGGACTATTTTGACAAGTGCAGTTTCAGTGGCTTTCAAAGTATCAGCCCAAACATATCCAAAGATTTTGTGTTTTGAATATAGTATGTCTTTCGAAGCCCATAGGAGAATGCTACCAGTAACTTGAGGCAGTTGGGCCATGACCCCCCAAATTGGCACCCACCAGGTCTATGTCTAGTCTGTCGAGGGGTGGGCCCTTGGAATCGGGGACCTTGACTTCTGACATGCTGTTCTGGACTCCACGACCAGTCAATGAGGAGCCAGCCTCTCGTGGCGACTTTGATGGGGTGGTGGTGAAGCAAGTGGAGGATGAGCTGCAAAAGAGGCTTGGGCACACCTGGGTTTTTGAAGCAGTCCTCGGGTCTTGACAGCTACCTCCGGTTTTGGCTTCTGGTTGCCAAACTCACCCAAAATATCCATGATCAAGATCATCATCCCCCTAATTCCAAGAAGATCTGGGACATCCCTCCCTTTGCCCGATTTTTCCAGGCTGGACACGCTCACGGCGGAACTGAATGAGGCGGAGCCGGCTCGGCAGGCGCGCGCCGACAAGGTGCGGTGCGAGTGGGAGCTGCCAGGGAGGTGCAGTAGGCAAAAGGGGAGAAACAGAAGCAGCATATACTCCTCAAGATAATCCATGGAAGTGCAAAACCACCTGCTTTTGGAGGAAAATGATCATCCAAGGTAATCGGTGGGATGCCCAAAATTGATTTCTCTCTTTGATTGTGAGGAAGGAACTCCAAAATTTCAAGCCTGGTTTGGACAAGCATGGTGTCAGACTTATTCAAGAACTCTGCATTGGGTATTGCCAAGTCAAAGGAGTTATGCCGTGAAGCGTTCCTAGGGCATTTTGAGCTTTGCTCAGTGGTCACTCCAAATTGAATGGAGTTAGAAGAATGCAAGTTCCGAGTAAAGCGCTCTCCAGATTCCTTGCCTTAGACGGTTGATGAACCCCCCACATCAAAGTTCTACAATCCAAATGAGTGCGAGTTGTATTCATCAACGCCGCATGGTGAAAACAACTCAGGTGGCCAATTGCAAGGCTGCAGTTGAGGCAGGCAAGATGAAGCAGGAAAGTCTGGAGAAGGCAAGGGTGTGGCTGCGGGGACCACAAACCACGAAAAGAAGCTGAAAGGACACCCTTGGTGAGCGAAATGGTGGGTGATCCTGGCAGGACCTGGGCAGAAGATGTTTGCTGGCAACAACATCTCCATGCGAACTCTGGTCTTTTGGGGTGAGTCCGGAACCAATGAGTTGAGCGAACAATGTGATGCCGGTGGTTCCAAAACTGGTCACCCTTTTGGGGCCGGACGGACTGTGACACGGTTTCCCAAAGATTCTGAAAGAGAAGGTGACTTGAAACAACGTCAGGACCCCTGAGCGTCCAGTGCGTGGCAAGCACCTTAAACATTGTCGTTTATATTCTTTGGTTCGGATGATTGGAGCTACATCCAGAGATAGCGCAAGGCCACGCTTTCCCCAAACAAGCTTACGATTCTATTTTGGAACATCGTTCCCATGAACCCAGGAGGGCTGAGACACGCCCCAAACACGCCCACGGCTGAAGCGCTTGGCTGAAGCCGATCGGCTTGTTTTCGAGGCCCTCAAGGACGCGACCACGGCTGAGAAGGAGGCCGTCGTGGCAGCCAAGGCTGCGGTCAAGGCATTGAAGGCACCGGGGAGACGTGGATGGTGGGGTGTGGAGGGGTGTGGAGGGTTCGGGGAGTTGGGCCGGTCACCGTGTTTGGCTTCAAAGATAGTGAAATCAGTCATTCTTGATTTGTTGGGGTCCTTGAGCCTTGAGCTAGACACGTTCTGGCCGATAGGGCAATAGTAATTCCATGTAATTCCATTCAATTCCGTAATGAGTCACCTGTCCTTTCTTCATCGCACAACGCCGAAGAGGTCCTCATGTTCAGAGCCCAGAAACAGGTCTCCTGCCTGATCCACTTGGATTCCGCTGAACCTTGAAACAGTGATCCAAGTCAGCCAAGTGATCTCAGAATGGCTATGACTTGATATACAAATATAAATATGATCCCCCTCACCTTCCATTTGGATTGAACAACCTCTTCATTTGGGGATATGAGTCAAGAGTCTATTCCGCTTCGAGGCCTTCGGCCCCGAGATGAAGGAGACGAAGGGCGCGCTGGACGAGGCGAAGGAGCGCCCGGCCGCGAGCTTCGTTCCGCGAGCAGAAGACGAGGTCTTCGTTCCGCGCCTTGTTTTTGCATGAGCCAAGGTGAATTCGACGAGCGGAGAGGTTGACTTACTGCAGGTGGACTAGTTCGAAGTTTAACATAGAATCCAGGTCTTGTCTGGCAGGTTCTTCGGCACCTGACCCATGACGGCAGTGGCCCAACGTGCGCGACCCTCCTTCACTGGACATATTGGATGTTCATGTGGTTTCTTGTGCGGGTTTCTATGTTGCTGCTGTCTTGAGGTTCATTTAGGGATCCATTGCTTTGGTCATTGCAGATTCTAGAGCCTGGGGGGGTTGATGTTTGCCTTCATCCATTTGTGGGTTGTTGGACAGATCTTCCCCATCTATCCCGACATTTCATGATGTATTGTGTTTAAAATAAAGATTTTAAAGGGCAAATGCTGCAGCAATGTAACTGGGAAGAACCAGCCAACATTTGTAGGCCGGAGGTTCTAAATCAAGAAACGGGACGACGGGGAAAGCGACTCATCCCTCTAGTTGGCGGGTTCTAAGCTTTGCATCGAAGATCATCCGAGTTTCTACCGGAGCTTTGCCCAGATCTTTCGGATCACTTGGACCCAGATCTTTCGGATCAGACGAAGCGCATGGAAAACATCCGAAAACATCTATTTTCTATGGCCATTCTGATTCTCTCACCCAGAATGATCATGTGAAAGTGCGTGACCCATTCTGCACAGGAGTCCTTGGACGACTTCACTTCTGGTGTTCCTTGGCGGGTCCCGGGCGGTTTTTTGTTGGGGTCCCGTAACTCGGGATATGTATGTATATATATATATATATGTATACAAAAAATACATATACATATATGACAACACACATTCAGACTCATACTGTGATGAAGCGAAAGCACGCAGGATTTTGATTTGTTTATATTCATGCAATGATCAGAACAGGTTTAGACATGACGCAGCAAATCTTGGTTTGACTCCATCGCTTCGACTCGAAGCAGCCCAAGCTGCTGAGTAGGAACTGACAAGCCACGAATATGCTGGCAACTCCCCTCATCATTGACAATTGATTGGGGACTCCCTTGGAGGGAACCAAAGACTATTACAAGCAGCATCCAAGAACTTTCTCAAAACCTATTTACCAAGTATTGAGTGCATGGTCGTTTTGGGTTTCAGCATATTGAGTGGACAGAATGTTGTTCTGTTCATTGCTTGCATTGGGGCATGCCGGGCATGTAGTCGGTCTTACCCGTGAGTCACGATCTTGACCGACAGTTCCGAAGGTGTTGAGTGCCTTCTTGTAGCATCCTTTTCTGGAGCATGTCATGCCGGCAAACCGGACGGCCAAGCCTTGTGAAGTTTCTGAAACACATTGGACCCCCCGTGCCTCCCTCGCTCCCTGGCCTCCCTGGCCTCCCATCAACTCATCCACTGGGTTCGTCTAGGCCTTGAAGACCTTCACTGAGCTCCTTGAGCACACCAAGCCGCCGCCGGAGCCCGTGGAGGCGGAGGCCGCCAGCTGAGAGGCGCTTCCGGGCTCGGCGGTCGTGTGACTGGTGTGTAGTGTGTAGTTAGTGTGTGCGTGTGTGGGCACTGGTAAGGGACCTGGAAGATGATTGCGAGCTCTGCAAAAAAGAAACCGTTTGGAAGAAGAAAAGCTCACTGGCAGCGCTTTTGTGGAAACATGGTCAGAGCATGATGCTCGAGAGGCGTCCACCAGCAGCTAGCATATGCTGAGACTCACAGGTGACAGGAAGGAAGAACCGACAGAAAGATGCATGTGAGGCGAGGGAACGACAGCCAAGTTGGTAAAAAGGTGCTTGAACAACAATTGGGTTCTAAAAAGCGGACATGTCATCCTCCAACGCAGGCAGTGAGCATCTCTCTAGGGTTTCAACGGCAATTCATGATCGCATTGAATTGTCTCAGACGAAGTATTTGGTCCAATATTTGGCAGTCAAACATATTGACAGAGATGAGCAAGATTGAGCAAAATTCCGATTGCAGCCCAAATAGCAGTTGGACAGTGACCAGGTGCTTCAAGGTCCAGGCGAGTACAATATTCGCGTCGTCTGCGACGTGAGTTCTTTGGCAGGGCCCTCCTCCCCGAATTGGCAGGCAACGGGGAGGGCCCTGTGGAGCAGTGCCCGAATACCGAGAAGAGGGTAGTTCCTGGGAACAGCAACACGGACAGATGAGTTTAGGGATGATTTGGGCATGACGGGCCTCAACTCGGGCATTTCTCTCTGCAGGTATCAGGTCTGGCACTGAAGAGGAGACCACGCAACCACAACTCAGCCAGAGGAACGGGAGGAAGAGTAGGGAGGGAGAGACACACACATAATATGATAGGGGGTGTTTCTCCTAATGTGGGGCCATGAAAACCGTCACATATTACGGTACTACCTCTAACAAACGGGCTTTGATTGTTGCGGTCGTGTTTTTTGTTCTTTCACCACCTTTCCTTTTTCGGATCGGTCGGGCAAAGCTCTAATTCGTTGCAGATGTATTTCCTACCGCCTCGGCACTCGCCGGCTGCGCGGGTGAGCCTGCATTTGGGGAGACAGCCGAGAAAGAACCGCAAGCGCTCGTCCGGAGCGTGGGTCGCAGCTTCGTTGGAGCCGGTGACATACACATATACACACATAATGTAGACTCTTGATTAATAAACCCCCATATGAAGAGAACTTTCCATTTCAATTGGGTGCTCTATTAATCAAGAGTCTACACAGACAGACGCACACGTTTGGGCCAAACCAATGCGACCCCCAAGAATCGCACCTTTACGGCGACACAAGAGCTCGGCTCACAAGCCACGACAAACACACCTGAGCTCCTTTCCACAAGGCATCGATGTTTGGACTCAGCTTGTTTGACTGAATCTGTAGATATGGACACAAGACAGCCGAGCAATTAGAGGCTTGTTCCTCGAGGGTCTGCATTTGCTGTTACCCTCTTACCCTTTCCGTGATTGCATTGCCATGGAAGATGAAGATGTGGATGCCTACTTTGCAAAGCATGACATCCAGAGTGTCGTTAGCGACATCCTGTGCCTTGGACAAAAGGCACCTTTTGACGCCGGGGACCCTCCCAAAAGGCCAGCGGCGCAGATCGGCACAGGGCGGCACAGCATCTCTTTTCTTGGCCAGCTCACCCTATTGCGACCCAAACAATGCTCTGGTCTGATTGCGATAACCATGGAACGTCGACTATGATCTCCCACCCCCCACCCCCTCCTTATTTATTTATATATATATATATTAAAAAATATATATATATATAATATATATTATACATATAGAATCAACCAGTCATTCGATGACAACAATGTGAAGTCTACGACAGGGAAGAGACAAGCTCGGCAATCTCCTCAGGCACGCCAACATGAATCGCAACCCGCTAGTTTTTGTCCACCAGCACAAGCAAGACCCGACCAAGCACTGCCTGCAGTGGCATATTTGGTTTGTGAATGCTGCAAGGAGCAAGGAGCAATCGCAACACATTTGTGGCCTACAGGAACCTACAACGAACCATGTATGGGCACTCTTTCTGATTCTTTTCGCAGTGTCATTGCTGGAGAACCTGTCCGTCAAGCAATTACTCTATTTTTTTCAGAGGCTCCTTTTCACCATCACCATGCTCCTTGAATTGGGGGTGTGCCCCAAATCGGCTTTCACTCCAAGGTACGAGCTGGGCTATCATCGCCCTGAGAGCTTGGGGCCCTTCCTGGCCAACTACGTGGAGCGCCGCTTCGGGGAAGGTCCCACCAAGCGACGTGCCTCATTTGCCATTCGTCGGGAGGAAGTCCCAGACTTGAATGCCTGCCGCCCCGGCAATCCTTTTTGTGTAAATCTGGTCTACGGTCTACCACTGTGTTTTTCTCATAGATGAGGGTCAGCAATTCAGGGCTTCATCTATCTACCCTCCCTGAAATAATAATGGAAGTGGACAATTGCCCCCCTTGGATGACCAATATCCTTTACAAACAGGTGGTTTTCCACTTCCATATTTCTTTTCTCGGGGTGTACTTATTCAGTTGTTCCTTTTCCCATCTTTTCTGGGCCATTGAGGGGTGGAGACGAATCTAACTCCGACGTTTCGACTGTCTGACCGCCCAAATGCAGGGGGAGCACGTCAATGCCTTGTCTATTGCAGGGGTTTTTGAGGAAACCATTTCCACAGGGGTAGACTACTCTTCTAGATCTTTTGGGTTGAATCTACAATTAATATAGACCTCACTGAGAGGTTGGCCTTCAAAGTGTGTCCGGCCACAATGGAACCATACCATCTTTGTCTTGATAGTTGGATGAACTCAAGGATAGATGGCGGGGCTTGATTTGAAACCAAGGCACATGCTACTAAGAGCAAGAAGCTAGTAGGTCGGAGGCCATCGCTATTAGGTAGAGGCCATCGCTACTAGGAACAAGAAGCAGTGCATGCCAAGGCACCACCTCGAGCATGTGTTCGGCGCCGGGCGGCTGCGATGCAGTGCTGGTGGAGTCCAAGGGGAAACATCCCACCACAGAGGACGCGTGGTCGGGACTTTGGGTCGGTGGGTCAAAGCTGGTGAGGTTAAGTGATGGTGCCAAAGACCCTTGACTCACATCCAAAGGCCTCTGGTCGGTTCACACTTGTAAATCTGCCTCGTTGGGTTGGGGCGAAGATGTTCGAGGGAGATGGGGATGTTCTGTGGATCTCTTGCGACTGACGAGGAGCAAGCAGCTGGGCAGATACTTCTAGAGCTGAGACGGCTCCGGAAGAAGTACCACACCTTCAGTGCCCAGGCGACTGCTAGACCTAGCTAGCATTGTGAAACTGAAGCTGGCAAGAGTGGAAATGTGGGTCCCTGAAGCTGGGATGTGGGTCACTGAAGCTTGGAAGCTGGAACCCTGTTTATTTTCATTCTCTGATGCCTAACCCAGTGAATTGCCGACAGTAGAAAGAAGATCCATCAATCACCTGAAAAAAAAGTGGTTTAAGCCATTAACCATGCACTTCGACATGCTTATATATACGAGAAATTGGACTATATCTATTGGCATCTATGGTAAAGGGGAAGGGAGCCGACCTCAACCATTCCCATTAGGTTCCTACAACCAGAGATCTTGTCCAAATACTCATATCTTGGGGGTGTCCCATTACCTGTAACAGTCGGTAAAGAATTATCACAACTACCAGGCCTGCAACCAAACCATCATCATCCACAATTACAGGGAATGGGATATACCCAACTCATATCAACTCATATCCCTCCTGGGCATTTGTCTTCAACTGAAACTCCCCGCGCAGTTGGCGCCCGAGAATGGGCGCGGCACGGCCTCCTTCTCGGCAATCGCGTGGAAGGCCCGTTTTGGAGACGTCGTTCAGAAGATCGTGTTTCGAAAGGGTCTTGATGGGTGCTGGGTAGATGGGATGGAACCATCCTTGGCAAGCAATCTTGGAGTGAAACATTCGACACGTCCTTTTTCCGCAACATGACTCAAACTGCCGAATGACTAGAGTGACTAGAGATCCACTGGCCAGAGATTGCTGTTTCAGAGATGGGTTTCAGATCCCTCCGATCGGCTGTTGAATGACAGGGCCAGGTGCCATGCGATAGTGTTTCCTCTTTTTTGGGCCTGCCGGGCATGGGATTTCAAGCTCACCAGTTCACTGACCTTTCCTTGCATGACTCAGACATCAGCAGATCATTTCGTAGCTGTTTAATATCGGGCATTTTCCTTCGGCAACTGTTGCAGACGCCTCGGAACCGCCCTCCGAGGAGTTTGAGATCGACTACCAGCGGCTCCTGCAGCTGCTGGGCAGCTCGATCCTTTGGAGCTTTTGCAGGCAGAAACCGGCGATGCGGTTCGGTGGGGTGGCTTTCTTGTTCCAGGCTGTTTTTGCCGATGCTTTTTCTTTTGGCTCTGCGGTACAAGACAAGCTTTATGACCCTTCCTTTGAAGTCTGCCATTTTGGACCATGGACGAAAGCGCTCGCCTACTACAAATTGATGCTTTGGGGTTGAAGAAGCTAGACATTGAAAACAGCTGGCTTCAGATTAACCAAGCCTCGACATCACAGTCAAGCGTGAACAGCTACACCCCCATAGGGTATGACCTTCCGATCTTTCCATCGAAGCCGTTTGCAGCTCTTTGAAACTGATAGAACCTGAAGTCATCCCGTACATGACGATGCTGTTCGACCAACCTATGCTTGCTGGTTTCCAGGACCTTCGCCTTTAATTGATTTGGGGGTTTGAAATCGCAGGCGGCGGCTGGCGGCATCTCGTGGTCTTTTCGAAGCTCACCGAGCCTTGAATGAAGAGCAGGAGGAGCAGGACACGGTGGGACGCGGTGGGACACGGTGTGACACTGGGCGATGGGTGAGCGAACAAGAGCAGATTGGGTCACTTGAAGTCTCAAACAAACGACGACCGTGCCCCAGTAAACCTCCACGGAATGACAGCAGTATGACTCAGAATGATCCATTTTGAAGACCGGGCTTCGGTGTCAAGGACTGCTGCGAGAATGTGATGAAGAGCACTTCCCTTCCCTTCCCTTCCCTTCCTCTCACGATCTAGGAAACCGATGGAAACAGCATGTATTCACTGGTGTACCAAAAAACATTCAAAAACAGCTTTTCTTGTGGGTCGACCAGGTCCGCCCCACCGCGTGTAGGAGGCGGGCCATGGCTTCGTGCGTGTGGACAACTGTCTCCAGCTCGCCCGGGCATTGCCTCCGGGGAGGCGCGGAAGACCCGCGGACCTGACGCTTCGGACGATCCGCGGGCCGGACGCAGTCGAAGCACTTGGGAAACAGGTGCTGAAGAGGTGCTGTCATAGCATCCACAAGCTATTTGGGATCCCCGGTTGGTAGTCGTACTCGGATGGGGGGGGGGCTGGGGAGCTGGAATAGTTACCATCACTATAGTGACGACCCACCTTGGCTGCCGCAAATGGAGGTACAGGGGTTGGCATCCTAAAAAGTAAAATAGTTCAGATTCAAAAACAGGGGATGGGTTCCATGAATTTTATTGCAGCAGATTGGGGTTGATTTTGAGGTTGGCCCTACAACACTTGATTTTGCACGTGGGTTGGATGCTGCTCATTTTATTTCACTGCTAGAGGTTTCAGTATTTTATTCTTTTGCTATTGTGGTGCTAACTAAGGGTGAAGACATGAAGATTAGATGAAGTGCACTTTTGCCTAAATACATCTAGTGTGGTCCCAGGGTTGGGTCCCATCATTTTTATGTCACCCCAAGTGTCTTTTGGTAGTGTGCCTTTGGTTGTCTTGCTGGGTGTGTTTGCTAATGTGGTGGTAACTATGGGTGGAGACATGCAAATAAAAGCAAAAGCATTGTAGCCTAAATAGTTTAAATCTGCTTCTAGGGTTGGCTCCCATCACTTTTATTTCACCCAAAGTGTGCTTTTGGTAGCGTGCCTCTTGTTTGTCTTGCTGGGTGTGTTTGCTAATGTGGTGGTAGCTAAGAAACAACAATCATTGAATCCTTAGCTTTGGAACTTTTGGTACCTTTTGGTATGATATGATTGATATGTATGATTGTCCGGCCCTCAGGTAAATCCGTTCTCAGATTGCCTCATCCAAAAGGGATACAGTATTGAGGCAGGTTGAGGGAAAAGAGTGGCACCAGAAATTCATAGCCCATGCGGTTTTGAGCCACGTGGGAACTTTCGGGTTTTGGAGAAGTCGAAGTGTTCCCACTGGGTGTTCCCTCTACCAGTGCAGAACAGATGCAGTGGAGTGACTCGATCGACTCCGTCGAGGCTGATGGACATCTTCCAGTCCAAGCTGAGTGACAGTGACAAGGACTCTGAGGACCTGGGGAAGATCGCCGTACTTGAAGACCATGCCGTACGATGTTGGCAACAGATGAATCTGCATGCCCCTATTGTTATTCTTCTTGTTGTACTTGGCTGCGGCATATTTGGCACTGGTATGTTTGAATTGTCACTGTTTCTCTCCTCTCAAAGCGGGCAGGAAGGGATCCTCAAGTCTCTGGTTGAAGGCCATGGGCCGGAGACCCAGGTAGCTTGCAGTTCGTGTAGTAGGAATTCACTCTGGTTACAGCTCTGAGTTCATGTCTCAGTCTCTTCACCTTGATCTTCAACATCAAACTATCGAACTCAACATTTTGCTGCTCCACAAACATGCTTCTCAAGAGGTGGAGGCCCACATGCCAAAAGACACTCTGCAAGACAAAGAGTTGTAGAACCCTAGCTTCTACAAGATGGGTTTGAGAAGATGTGTACTTTGAACCTAGCTTGGTGAAGAGATCCTTCTTCTGTTCAGCTGCATCCAATCACGTCATCCGTGCTGTGTTTGGCCGTACGAATCACCTGGCGAGTGACCACATGAACCACGCTCCACGCTGCGGGACGTGCCTTGACGACTTCTTGAGGCCTTTCGGCCCAGAGGAGATCACCGCCGATGCGGATGAGCCGGTGTGGAGACAGAGAAGATGTGGGCGGTTCGCCATTGTGTTCAGTTTTTCAGTGCGGTTGGTGAGGGACCAACCAGGTGGCTGGTGAATGTTGTTGCAGCCAACACTTTAAGGACGAAACACGTGGATTTGTGAAGATGTGGCCCTAATTTGATCAGTCTCACCAGTTGGTCTGCTCTTTCCAGACCGTTTGTGCTTGGGACGCAGCTCTTCGCCCTCTGGGACGCACTGGGACCACTCAAATGACCACCGTGGCGTTTGCCAGGCGCCGGGCATGCAGACTCTGAAGGGCCTCTTCTCAGGCGGAGAAGCCCGGAGAGGACTCGGAGAGGACTCCGAGAGGACACGGGGTCTGCCAGGTACGGCCAACCAGGTTCATGGATCCTACTTGCGGGAGGCGAATGCCGCGCGGCGCCCCCGGCAGGGCATGTGCAGAAAGCAGGTACTTGGAGTTGATGGGGACTGAACCCAATCAAGAGATCCATCACCATCTACTGCAATCCCCCTGACCTGTAGCACATTTCTTACCTTCATTCAGACTCGAAGCTTCTGGTATCCTAAACTTGTAGGCTGTATCGATTAAACTCCTGAACTTCCAGACTCTGTGGCAATTCATGGTCCTACAAGTCCTAGCAGGTCCTAGCTGCTGGATGAGATTGTTAGTTCGACTCTTCTAGTAACTAGACGCTACTAGGTGGAGGCCATCGCTATTAGGTTGAAGGCCATCGCTATTAGGGTGGAGG